TCACAGGTCCGGTCTCCCCCAGAAATCATCACAGGTCCGGTAGGCACAATTGTGCAGCGATAATAAGTAAAGATTATAGTAAAGTCATAGAGAGCATGAGAGGCAAAAGATAGAGTCAAGTAATGGAGTCAGACACAATTCATGGTAGCATTGCTCACCTCAGCCCAGCTTGGTGGTGGTCCACCAAGGGGTAACCTGGGGGTTACCCGGCCGGGGGTAACCCCGTGACCGGGGGTAACCCGGCCACGGAGAGCAGGAGCAGTCTCCAGGGACAGAAAACGGGGGAGAGCTCCCGGGCCCCAGGAGCTGGAGAGCTTACAGCCTCAGAGCTGGGGAGAACCTCTTCTTTATTGCTAACCAATCGTTATATCACTTGAGGGGGGCATCATTACAGAATCACACATCACGGGAAGAGGCAGTACAATAGGCATACACATTGTAGGAAGGGGATCTATGATAGGCATAAGCATAACAGGAAGGGGATGAGCTAGGGGTGTGCCAATAGGAATGGGAAGGTCTAGGGGTATACATGTGACAAGATGGGCAGACCCTGCATTCATGATGGCAACCTAATCTTGGTCGTCCTTGGGCGGGTTTGACCTCTCCGGTGTCTCCTACAAGGAAACAGACAACTACTATCCATATCAGAAGGGAGTGGCCTCTACCTGTTGTGGGATAAACAGTGGTGTCTGCTTGGTCTAGACAGCTGATAACTCTCTGGGAGAATGACCCCCAATCCACTCCTGATGACCTCCAAGTGTACAGTCATTCTCAAGCAGCTAAGTCTGGCATATATTTGGGGGAGACAGCTTGAGAGAAATCCTTCTGTTTCCCACACTTGTCGTACAGGACGTCTAGCATGAATCAACCCTTCCCAGGCCCAAAGAGAAAAGCTAGTACTGAGTATACATCCCGTAGTTATCCTCGTATATGGCCATGTGAACTCAGTACTAGTTCACAGTAAACTAGTGAAATATTATTAAATACAATTATGAAAGGGTGAAGCTATTATTCCTCAGCATATCTACCATGTCAATATATACACTTCTGAAGGTGGTATTTTTATCTCCCTAACCCTTAGAGAGAACCAGGGTGGTGTAGTGATTACACATTAGTGTGTGACCAGTAGTTCGAAATCACCAAATGCTCGGCCGGAGAAACAGGGCTTTCTACTCGCATAAATAGTTATGGGAAACTCACTGGATGAACAATCTGGAGGAGAAAACAATGGGACTGACAGTTCCGGGGGGACATGGGAGAGGGGGAGGAGGGGGGAAGGGAAGAAGA